AGGACAGATCTCTTATTTATTATTAATCTCAACTATTTTCAGACTGGATCACAATTCTATTAAGACCTCTTTTCTTCAAGCATAGTTTTTGTTTATTTTTAGTTTCTATCATGGACGTCTAGCTTCTGTTCACCTAATTAAAATCTTTTGGTAATATTTTATGTTTGTGCTGGTAAGATGAGGAACAAAAATGTTTTTGGAAAATCTCCTACACTTTGGGAAATGTTTCATATATTGTCAAATAGGACTTCTTTGACAATTATTTTCTTAGTTGATAAATGAGCTAATTCTTTTTCTTACATGTTATATGAAGAACATCCATGGCTGCAAAATGCCAATAAGGTACTGAATGTTCCTCTAGGAGAATGTGTCACAACAATGATTAAGCAGTTCTCATTGATGAATAAATTTAAGAAGAGAGCTCTAAGAGTAAGTAAAAGCTTCTGTGAATTCGTGGAAGTTGTTTTCTATTTGTCTATGTTCTGTTGATTAAATTTTTCAGTACTGCAAGGCTTGTAATCTTTTTGAGTTTACATTATACAGGTTGTAGCAGATATCTTGCCAATGGATCAAACAGCTGGTATTAAAAAGATCTTTCATATGATGGACACTGACAACAATGGAAATTTGACCTTTGAAGAAGTCAAAGATGGACTCCATATGATTGGGCAACCTGTTCCTGATCCAGATGTTCAGATGTTAATAGATGCCGTGAGTGTATTCCAATTTCAAACTTCTCGTTGAAATTGTCTTTTTCTGTAATTATAGTGCCGCAGGGTTATTATTGACTTTTCTTGTATTTTTAATTAATGTTTGGGTGCCCTAATAGAAGTACGAGAGCTGGCACTGCCAGCATGCTTTTTGCCTCAATCTTTTCTCTCCTCTTCTCTCCCCTGTCTTTTCTCTCATCCTCTGTTCTTCTCATCTTTTCTTTTACTTTTCATGTTAACATGGTATCAGAGCAGGTCTATTGGACCTAAAAACAAGATCGATCAGAATTCTTTATTTCCTTCTTCCCTTGTTTTGAGTAAAGAACAGAGAAACTCTGTCGGACGGGTCTGAGAGAATTTTCTGGGTTCTTCTCCTCTTATCTCTTGGTCGTGTACCAAGAAAAATACATGTAACTGGTTCGGCTGAATAGTGTGAAGAATTTAGAGGGCTTCCAACCCCTCCTAGTGGGGTCGTGTGATCCTTTTATGTAATTTTTGTAGGTCTGGGATGATCTCTCTGTGCTGTAGCAGTAAGGTCTGGTATTTGGATCAAATCGATGTTGTACCTGTATTTCTAGCAGCAGAATTTTGTGTGGATTTGAGTTTCTTGACCTGTCTTTCAGTGCTTCTTTATAGTACACTGGGTGACCTAGTGATAGTCCTTTACGTTTACAGTGTTTTGTGGTTAATTAGGTAAATTCATTTTTTTTCTATCATGTCTTCTGAAGTCTGGAAGTGCTGAGTTGGTAAGTGGAACCATGAGAACAGCATGGTGATGTTGTGGACTTGTGGCTTCTAGTGTCTTTGCTGCCCAAGTTAGAAGAAACATTATGTGAGCTGACATTGCATATGAAATCTAGGAACAAGCCTATTCTACTTATTTTGAACAGTGGTATTATGCAAAGATCATCAGTTACAGGCTGAATCCTCTACTTGTTTGTACGGGGAGAGGAGCAGGGTTTAAAATGCCGATGTCGATGGAAATGTCGCTTACCAAAATATAGGACATATGTCGGAAATGTCGAGGGGAAATATTGTAAAAATTAGACACATTGTGGAAATATTATGAAATATGTGGAAATATGCAAAGATATTTTGTAAAATGATAAAAGAAGCATGAATACATATTTCTAGACTATTATCTTATTCCCAACAATTATATAAAGCTAAGAAACTAAGATCAATAACAAATTAGTAATTACTGATTTATTATGCATTTTGATGTTTTTACAAGGTTATCTGATATTTTCTTTTCTTAWTTTTAATTCTGWTTTATTATWAATTCTAATATATTTATTTCACACTAGTAAGTAGAAATACATTTATTCTGATTTTTAAAATATTAAAGTTATAATACATTATGTTTTATTATAAATTTAATAAACTGATTCTCCTTTTTTGTAGTATTAAGATTATGATAAATTCTGATTTCTTATAAAACTTAATGAATTTATTATGATTTTTAGTACTAAATTTATAATTTATTAT